CTCCCTCAGCACTGACCCTCCGACAGCGCGGCGCTCCCTCAGCACTGACCCTCCGACAGGCTGTTAGAACGACGACTCTTTCTAGTGGCTGTACAGCTTGATATTGAACAGCAAAAGGGCTCGAGTCAAGTTGAGAATTGTTTATGATGTGATCTGGAATGTGTTGCCTGAAAAGGCACTGGGACTGGACTCAACTGGAACTTTCAAAAGGGAATTGGCAAAATACTAGAAATAGAACGATTTCCTGGTCTTGGGGGAATGAGGCTGATTGCGTTTGTCCCAAAGGTCTTGTTCTATGGCTGTTGGACTTTGTCAAAAATCCCAGAATGCGTGCCATCAGCATTCCACAGGCTATTTCCTTTCCTACAGTGAGACACCGGATTTCTCAATGCACCGTGAAGGCTGAAGGAAGTTAGGATTTGTCAGATTGGGTGAATTGGTGGGTGGGGGTGAATAGATCGCGACTGTTTTACTATATATATATATATATATATATATGACTCGGAGGAAGGAAGGGAGTGTGCTGCAGGCAAATTTTCAGATGACACAAAAATAAATGGAGAGACAGGTTGCATGGGATCCAAAAAGTTTACAGAGAGAAACAAGTACTTCTGAGGAAGGGTCACTGAAACTCCAATTTCTCTTCACAGATGCTGCCAGACCTGCTGAGCTTTTCTAGCAACTTCTGTTTTTGTTTACAGCAACTGCAGTTCTTTCAGGCTTTTTTTTTTCACAGCTTACAGAGAGACATAGATTGGTTAATTAAGTGAGCAAAAATTTAGCAAATGGAGTATAATGCAGATGGTTCGTCACCCTGTTAGGTAACATAGTCAGCGTGCCTCTGGTGAAACATTTGTGTTCTGTCCTGATCGTTATTTATGAGCCTCGGTTGGCTGGGGTGGTTGGCATCACTTCCAGTTACCTAGCAGGGCGATGAAACGTCTAGTCAAACTCACCGGCTCAGCGAGCAAGTCTACATCCTCATCCACAACCTGAGCTACACATCTTCCCAAAAACTTTAAAGCATCATGGCTGATCCCACATCCCTCATGCCTGCTTTCCTGCCCTTTCCCCATCACCCTTGATTCCAACTCATCAAAAATCCATCTCAGCCTTCAATATACACAAGGACACTGCCCCCCACAGCTCTCTGTAGCAAGGAGTTCCAAAGACTCAGAACCCTCTGGGAGAAGGAGTTCCTCCCCGTCTCAGTGTTAAATTGGTGCCCCTTTATTCTGAGACTGTGCCCTCTGGTCCTAGGTCCTCCCATGAGGGGAAACACCCTCTCAGCATTTACCCTGTCAGGCCTCTTAACAATCCGATATGTTTCAATGTGATCCCCTCTCATTCCTCTAAACTCCAGGGAGTAGATCCCAACCTGTTTAGCCTTTGCTCATAAGACAGTCCCTCCCAGACCAGGGATCATCCTAATGAACCTTCTCTGAACCGACTCGGCGAGCGTGTCTACAGCCTCAGCCCAGGATGCTGTTAATGGCAGAGCAGGTTTGTGGGCCCGACGTCTGTTCCTATTTCATACAAGATGCCCCTTGAGCTGGCAATTCTGCTGAGGTTGAGAGAAACTTTGCTTTCAATGTACCCGGTTGGGAAGAGGATGGTGAGGTTGCCATAGGTAGCCTGGGGCCATCCTCAAGCACTTGACCATTTAAGTGCCTTTAGTGTCTGATGGAAGTGGCCCTGGACTGGCAGAGATGGCAGTGATAAAGCAATAACAAAGATTCAGAAGCTTTTAAAAAAATCCAATCACTGTTGCCCTCATGAATTATTCGGAGGAGCCACAATTAGGCTTCATGTAATATTAACGCCAAGTGTCTGTTATAGAGCTCCTTACGGTCAGCCATACTTCAGGCAAAATGTGAAGGCATTACTATTGGGAAGGTCAAGATAAAATTGCCACAGTCTGACTAGACTATAGGGCTTTTTTTCTGATGAAGGGTCTAGGCCTGAAACGTCAGCCTTCCTACTCCTGTGATGCTGCTTGGCCTGCTGTGTTCATCCAGCTCTACACCTTGTTATCTTAGACTATAGGGCTGCTCTCTTGTTACAGAGAGCCAACTGGAGGGTGTTTGACCTGAGGGTCACCACACCGCGGGTGAAGGGGGAGGGGTTGGGAAGGAGAGTGCTTCATAGTAACCTCAGCCAGTGCGCGAATTGAACCCACACTGCTGTGTGCATCCAGCCAACTGAACTAACTGTCCCCCCCAGTTGGGAAGGTAATGACGTGGCCAGTAGCGACAGCAATACGGCCCCTCACTAGCCTGTGCTGACCTGTGACCTCTCCATCCTGACCTCCGACACCTCCAGCCTGACCTGATGGCCACAATCTGCTCTAATGTTAGAGTGGAACCTGCTCGGGTTCAAACTGAGAATAGAACAACATCCCGCACGAGGGCTCCTCGTCTGGAGGCACCAATTTGGAGTAAAACTTGAGATGCATTTTCCACAGTCTCATCAAATAGAAAACGATTGGAAAGTCCCCAAGAGGATGAATTCCAGAGGAAGGTTTCTGGTTTTATGTGTCAGAACTCACTCTGTTCCATTCCTTACAGCAAAATGTTCCCGTCCATTCACCCACCTGGGGAGGAATCTGTTTCCAACTAAAACAGTTCTGTTTTCATCCTCTCCTCATGAATAAATCCAGAACAACACCGAAAGAATGACAATGGGATGGCGCTAAGAGACAGGGGAAGGGAGAGCCCTGGAGATATTGCGGGGTGTGGTGGGGTGGGGGGGAGTGGGGGTAAAAGAAAAAGAGAGAAAGAGAGAGAGAGAGAGAGAGAGAGACAAACACAGAGGCACGGGGTGGAGCACAAAAAGAGATAAAGAGGGATAGAGAGAAAAGGGGACAGAGAGAGGAGAGACAGAAATGGGCAAAGAGGGGGAACAGAGAGAGAGGAATAGAGAGAGTAAAGGAGATAGAGAAAGAGAAAGAGGGATAGGCAGAGAGAGAGGGGGATAGAGAAAGAGAATGACAAAGTCAGAAAGTGGGATAAGCAGAGAGAGAGAGAGAGACAGAGAGGGTTAGAGAGAGAAAAGAGATAGAGAGGGGGACACAGAGAGAGATTGGGCACAGAAAGACAGAGGAAGGAAAATAGGAGTGAGGAGAGAAGGACTGGGAGAGAGTGGGGGAAGAAACAACATATGTGCTCAAGTTGGAACAGATAAAGTGATATGGGGCAGAATCCCGGGGAGAGAGAGGGGAAATCCAGTGATGTGACACCAATCTCAAAGAGCAATCATTCAAGAGATATACCATCACATGAGAAGGAACCACATCAAAGCAGCTAATTATGGATTCCACCCCCTTTCACAACGCTCCACAGAAATCAGAGGGGAATTTCTACCAACTTGTGTACCCTTGGAAGATGTGAGAGAGAGAACTTCAAACGTTGTCTAATGCAGAACAAGAAACATGGTTTGGGCAGAGTACTCTCACTGAAACATGTGATCCTGACCAGGACTAAAACAGGACAGAGCAAGTTTGCACTGCACCACACATAGTCCAAATGCCAACTCAGTGTGCTAAAAACAGGCCACCTGAACATCTATTCATGATGTTAATCTGTGGGCAGCACCTTCACTAAATGCTCCTGCAGTTTCACAGAAAAAAAAAGGAGTATCCTGCATCCTTTCCCATTCAATATGATCATGGCTGATCCTCAGGCCCCAGGCTGCCTTTAAAATCTAAGAACACATCTATTTCTTTCTAACATATATTCACCGATGTAATCTCCACAGCCTGTCATGCCAGAGAATTCTACAGATTCAAACTTTACATCAGCATCCAGAGCTCTCAATCCTGGGGAAATTCCCACTTAAATACTGAGGGAGCGCCGCACTGTCAGAGGGTCAGCGCTGAGGGAGCGCCACACTGTCGGAGGGTCAATGCTGAGGGAGAGGAACTTGCTGGTAGGGTTAGAGTAGGGTTCCCCTACACAGGACAAATAGCAGGAGTGGGTGGAGAAGGGGTGGGGTTGTTTTGTAGGATTTGGAGCAGCAGTTGACCCGGGATTTGTAAAAACGTAAATGGACAGTTTAAATTTAGAATCAGAAGGTGTTAACCCTTTGTGCACAACGTGTTGAAAGTGGGCCATTGAGGCCAGAGGAGATTGAGACGTGGAGAGACCTCCCAACATCTACTGGAGCTCCCATCTGTGAGCTCCTCACTGTCATAGCTATCAGTAATGTGCACCCCAACACAGAGAGGGGTCAAGGATACAGAGAATCCTTCTTCTGAAATTAGGAACTGGGTTTATCACAGGCTGCTGTTACTGTGTGAGTGCGTGCAGGTGTTTGTGTGCGTGAGAACGAGAGAGAGAGACTGTCTAGCTGTCTGTGTGCGTGTCTGAGTGAGAAACAGAGAGAGACTATGTGGCTCTACGTGTCTGTGCATCTGTGTGCGTTGGGGATGAACATCTAGAGCTTTGAGGTGGTTCCTTTGCTGAGACACATCTCTGAGTCGCTGCACATATTCACATGATGACAGATCATCGATGGACAGCCCAGCATTAGCACAGACACGTGTGACCCTTGTAATCAACAAAGTGCCATTCATTCTCACCCTAAACAATGTCATGACAATTACATTTCAACCGGCACACACACCCCCTCCCTGTCTCCGTCACCCTCCTCCAGCCCCTACACCCCC